CAAACAGGCCGGTGTGGTGGCGGGGGGGGGCCGGAGGCAAAAGGGAACGTGGATGGGGCGGGAGGCATGGGAAGGGGGGCAAGGATGGTCGGGGAGTTGGGGACGGTGGATGGGCGGAGGCAGGGGAGCATGGGGTGGGCGGGAGCGGGGGGAACATGGGCGGGGGGAGGCAGAGGGGGTCCCCGGGTAGTGCGAGAGGGCAGGGGGAGGCGGGTGCGTGATTTGCGGAGGGGAGTTAGATTAAATAAGAAATTTTTATTATTGTCGCGGAGAAGAGCAGGTGAGGGGCGCGGGCGGGCAAATGAAATGGATGGGCGGGAGGCAGAGGGGCCCGGGTAGGCGAGAGGGAGTAGATTGTCGAGACAGGGAGGGGGGCATGAAGGGCAGGCGGGCGGCAATGGGCTCCCCGATGAAGTAGAACGCCCTGGGACGGGAAGATGAATACGAGGACACGCGCCAAGGCAGGCCCGAGGGTCGTGAGATCCGCGCAACGCGGAAAACAACGAGGCAGGTCCGAGTGAGACAATCGTAACCATACGATATATATAAGTAATACACGTTCAATAGAATGCATGAAATGCGCACAAACTTCGCTTTACGTAGTTAATACAGTTGCATTCAAACCACGTTAATGTCGTTAAATACAGTTGCATTTGCAAAATATTACAACGCAGAAATATAAGGAAAGAGAAGTATGTAATTTTCACTGTTATGTATGTTATCACTACTAATGTTCAGTAACTTCACTCCGGAATTACACCGCCGAGAATGAATGCGGTACAGCCGAGGAAGCACGCAGTGTAACCACAATTCCGTTTCAGTAATTCGCTATTAGTTCTTTTTTCTTTCTTTTAACATATCATTTATATCAGTATAATATTCGCGTCCAATATATTCCGAAAAAAAATGTGACAATTATTCACTAATACAATACCACGAACTTTTCCGGCACTAATATAAATTCTGAGAAGTGAAACTCTTCATATTTCAACTTGTCCAGACAGCAATTCGATTCTGTTAAAGTTGGCAGCATTAGCTCGGAGCACGTCTCGTATGTTCTATCATTCCTTCTTTCGCGATATACTACGTACAAATGTGGAGCTGCAAAGGTATCGACACTTCCGCTGATTTCTGCCTTCTCCGCGCCTTCGGACGGAGTCGAAATTCTAGAGAAGCAACTGGGAAAACAAATACCTACTAGTGCATATCGATTTACAAATGATAGTCGACCTGTGGACCTCCTCTATTCAGGGAGATGTGACGTTCGACATCGCCGTCGCTCGCTCTCGGTAAGAAGTGAACGGGCCGAAAACCGAATCTACTTTATCTCCATGCACCAGTGTGTGCCCCAGATCGTTTAATATGACGTTCCTTGGCGCGCAGCGCTGCCGCCGCCAACGAGTTGTAGGTAGGCCGCTTCGCCGCGCCGTGTTGCGCCGCGTCGGTAGAATGGCCCGGCCCTGCCCGGCACGTTTCCGCCTGGCAGCAGCGAGCGTGCGGTTCACGGCCTCAACGCCGGAAAAAAAATGAGGGGAAAATATCTGTGAGGAGGAGGCGACGCACAGTCTGTCGAGGCAGTCGCATGGCGACAATCGTTTATCAGTTTGTTATCGCCAGTGATAATCGAATTATATTACCTAACAAGAGGCACAGGTCTCGAATTAAAAGAAATGTCTATCAACTTCTTGAAATCGAGCAGACAGAGAGAAGGGCGTTATCAAAAAAGCACGCTAGTGGTGACTTTTGTACAATTCCGCGATTGATTCCCGTAAACTGGAAACACCACACAGTGCGTGTAGATTACTAGCGTGCACTAATTTAATCCCACCTTGAGCCTACCACCTAGTCTAGTCAACTTCCAAAATTCAATATGTATCACGTAAAAAAATAAGAAAATTGTGTATGCTATGTAATGCACAAACCAGTTTTCAACATTTTTGAGACACTAATGCAAATGCCGAATGAAGCCTGAACTCTTGAGATCAGTGTTGAAAAGTTTAGTCTTGCTTATCGAACGTATTACGAACCTATTCGTCACGATCATTAACTCGTGACAGAGGTTATTTTTTAATAATAATACTAATACCAATAATAATAATAATAATAATAATAATAGTTAAACGTGGGGTAGCTAGTTTGGAACCCTTTTTTTAAACGTTTGGTATTACATTAGACTTCATCATATTCACGGACGGATCCACAGCAATTTAGTTCTTAGAGTAGAGCAGCTTTGGAAAATTCATAATGGAGAAGTTTGATATTAATTAATCGAATATTTTCAGTATATTTTGTACAGTTTGAGAAATATCGTATTAAAGAGATTGTAGTAAATTTTTTTAACGATCGAGAAAATTTCACAAATACTAACAATTTTCATAAAAAATACATATTTGTATGAAATTAACATAAGTTTACAAATGTTTATAGTTTAGTGAAGGATCATTCTCTGGCTGAGCGACATAATTCATACTTGCAGGATTAATTAATGGATTAAGAGCTAAAGATTATTCGTGAGTAGTAGAAGAATTACACTTAAACGACACACAAATTATGGTATGGTTCTGTACCCATTGAATATACTTATTCTTCTACGAAGAATATGCTTCAGATACCGGATACCGAATTAATTAAATTCACAGATATCTCAATTCACCAGTAGTCGAAAACTTCAGCTTTAAATATTTAGCACATGCATAATATTTTTTCTTCAAATTCGCAAACAATATATATAACCCGAATTTACATGGGTATATTTTCAATATTTTAATACTGATATCCGGGAGCATCGCCC